ATCCAGGGGGCAGCGGAGTGGGAGGCACGCAGACTCTGTACCAAGCAGGCTTATCACTTACTTGCTGTTTGACCTTGGCCGAGTTGCTTTATAAACTGTGGTCTCCTCATCTGTAAAATTCAAATTAATACCAGTTTCTGCTTTTTAGGGTTGCTCTGAAGCTTAAGTTGGATTGCACATAAAACCATTTCAGACAATCTTGGTCCACGTGAGTAAAATGCAGAGCTCAGTTACCTCTTGGCTGCTCTGATGAAATGCTGGCTATTTGAAACAAGTACTCACGAGTGCTTTCAGAGTATCCACGGCCTCAGCAACAAGTACTCGCAAGTGCTTTCAGAGTATCCACGGCCTCAGCATCTGAGTTATTCTCCTCCTATTGGATTTCTGAGAACTGGTCGACCACTTTTGCCCTAGACTTTCCAATGTTTGTTGAGAGCCTACAACATGCCCTCCCACTGTAGGGGTCCAGTGATGGATGATGGAGACATTGTTGCTGTCTTGTGAATGTGCCCTGGGGTTCCTGCTGCGGGCTGTTCCCAGGTGCTCTAGAGAGGGGCTGCGAGCAGAAGCCCTTTCCAGGGCTGTAAAGGTGCCCTGAGAGCCTTCATAAGAACACGATACCCCGTTCCCAGGTGAGTCTCAGTCCTTTGGGCTGTGGTTTGGGATGTTCTTTCAGTCTCTCTACTGACAAATCCTTTCTGCTTTGAGTGAACTATATCAGGGCTCATCTCTGACTACATGTTAGAAGCACCTGGGAGTTTTGAAAAGATCCTGATGAGCTGGAGCCCTCCCTGGACCGACAGGGCCACCGTCAGGGGTGGCGCCTGGGCATCATGTATTTTTAATGTTTCCCAGGTGATTCTAGTGGCATCAGGATTGAAACAGGTCCCCGTCAAAACCTTGCAGCAGAGAATCTCCCTAGACTTTGGCTTTCAGCAGGCAGTTTGTGGGTGATCACTGGGGAGATGATCTCAGATTGGTTTCCCCAATTTTTCCCCTAAACTTCCTCCCGAGGGTTTGAAGTGTTGGGTTCAGGAGACCTGCTTTTCAGATACAACTTCTGGCATTTTGTTCCAAGTGAACTTGCTTTTTATTTTTTGATGAACTCTGAAAGCTCTTTGCAGAGATAAGTTAACCTCTTGCCTATAAAATGGGACCAAAATAATATACGACTTCTTACCTATCAGATGAGAATCTAACAAGAAAAAAAAAGAGTAGGGTTAACTGTTGGAAGAAATTAAAAATGTATTATATGCCATGGATGGTGCTTAGGTTGTCTGTGTGTGTGTGTGGATGTTTAAATAGAAGATAAATGGAATTTGGTTACTACACCGGGGGAACTATCAGTCTAATGGGGGAGAAGTCCACGTGCTGTGAAGTCACAGCAGGGCAGGTGGTAAAAACTAACGGCTTAGACTTGGTGGGGACCCTGCTGCCAGCCTCTCTTGTCTGGATTTGAATTCTGGCTCTTAAACTTTTGAAAAGGCATTTGACCTTGATGGACCTTCGTTTCCTCCTCTATAAATTGGGGGACAGGACTCAGACCTTGTCAGCTAGGTGGTCATGAGGATGAGGTGGGTAACAGATGTAAATTATGAAGACTTATGCTTGGTAAAGAGGGAACCCTCGATGCAGGAGAGTAATCATCGTTGGGAGCTTACAACAGGAACCAGTATGACGTTTTCCATTTTCAGCGATATTCAGACTCTGAGATGGCAGCCCACCAGTGAGGAAGCTGGACACCCTGCATTTCAGATGTAGGGAGGTTAGAGGCCCATTTCCTTCCCCATCGCTAGCCTTGCCTGTGATTTAGATGCTGCGAGAGCCGCTTTGGGTATGTTGTGAACCTTTGTGAGTCTTGATGTTATCATCTGTTAAATGGGGAGACTTGTCTTAGCATGAGGATGAGCCCACACGGGGCTTCTCAGCCTAAGTGCTCAGCAGATGGGTCTTCATTCTGCAGAGATGCGTGTGTGTTTCCCTGGAACCCCGCACTGCCCTACACTTGGGGAGATTACTAAGTGTGGAGGAACACAGCTGGAGGCCGCCGGGGTGGGGGTGGGGTGTGGGGAGACGAGGATTTTAAGATTGAAACTTAGTAACATTAATCCTTATTTTCAAAGCTCTTTTCTCCAATTCATCTACCTCTCCCCAGCTGGTACCATTGTACTTTGCATTTGACTTGGCGGGATTAAGTGTGCCACTGGATTCAGGGGACAGTGGTGAAGGTGAGCCGTCTGACGTTCTCATCTGCATGACGGGATAAACTGTCCTTGAATCTAATCCACAAACTAGAGTGTAAAGCTATTAGTCAGGTCCCTAGGCAGAGCTTTACTGGACCGAAGTGTCCAGGCTCTCCATACCTGATAGATAGTTTGGAAAGACCGAGCGTGCATATTAATTCCCTGTCTCTGCAAAATGAAATCCACTTTTGAGCAGTAATGGCTGGTTTCACAACATGCCAGCATCTGTCGCTGGTGCGAACAAGTGATTGTGATCACAGAATATGTTTTTCTGGCTCCCCTATGGCCTTGGGGAGGCCGTGCCCTCTTCCCAGGGTGGCTTGCTCTCTGGCTGAACTGGTCCGGCTGGCTGTTTTTAACTCTGCCAACTGGCCATGGAAGTCCTTAGTGCGCTCCCTCTACAGCGGTGTGTGAAGTTGAGATGATGGCTGAAAATTTCTCTGCACCTACAAATGGGCTCAGAAATCTCTATTAAGAGTAAATTAGTATGTAAGGCATGAAATCAGACAAAAACCTAAAAAAAAAAATGTTTAACCATTCACCTCCCCCTCTCTTTTTTTAAGATTTTATTTATTTGATAGACAGAGATCACAAGTAGGCAGAGAGTCAGGCAGAGAGAGAGGGGGAAGCAGGCTCTCTGCTGAGCAGAGAGCCCAATGTGGGGCTTGATCCCAGGACCCTGAGATCATGACCTGAGCCAGAGGCAGAGGCTTAATCCACTGAGCCACCCGGGCTCCCCTTACCTCTCTCCTTTAACTTTTGGCTCCAATTCTTCCTGAGACGTAAGTGCTGGGGAACATCAGCAGAGACACGTGTAGCGAAGGCTGAAGCAGTGGGAACACATCTAGGAAAAAGTTAGGGTTGGAATGAAGTCATTTTAGGCAGCAGTTTGGGGTAAGAAAGCCTAGTTTGGACTCTCTTCTTTGGTAATGGCTTTCCTGAAGGGAAATGGTGACCATTTACAGATTCCAGAAGAAGGGGTCATCTGTACCCTGTGACATTTAACTACTATATTTTCTTTAATTTAAAGTATTGTTTCCTAAATAACAAGCCAAGGAGCACTGTCCTGGAGTGATGTTCCAGGAAGAGGCTTTGTGGTCACAGAGGCCTGGGAAGCCTGAAGACTACAGTGCCTCATGGAAATTCACAGCTCTTGTTGGCAGGTTAAAGGCACTGAGAAGTCCCACAGAGAAGTAAAGGGTGTTAGTTTGTTTCACCAAGCACTTCATAACCTTATTTAAGTTTGCTAACAGAAGCCACGAGGGAAAACATCTGATGAAGCAACATACTCCCATGGCTGCCACTGGTCTGTGGTCCCAGTCCTGGGATGCCCCTCCGGGAGAGGCTCCTGGCTCCCAACAACACATGGGGGAAGGGGCTGGTCTCTGGCTTGTGGAGCCGGCAGTGGGCTGGCCTGGTCAGGCTGGTGGCCACAGAACGGAGGACGGCATTCCTGCTAAGTCAGGCTCTGAGGCCCTTCTGCTGTGCGGGGGGATCTCTGCTCTTCCTGGTGTGTTTTCCAGCCCCTTGGTGTTACAGGGGGGGTTTTGCCAGCAAACCTGGCTTCACAGCAGAGTTTAAAAAGGGTTCTTTTCTGTGGCCCATCCCAGGGTGTTATCTAAAGTGAGAGGAGTGGGGGGACCTGGTTGGCTCAGTTGATGAAGCGTCTGCCTTTGGCTCAGGTCGTGACCTTGGAGTCCTGGGATGGAGCCCTGGGATGGGCTTCCTGCTCAGCGGGGAGCCTGCTTCTCCCTCTCCGCCTCCCTCTGCTCGCTGCTTCCCTTGCTTGTGCTTTCTCTCTGTCAAATAAATAAATAAATAAAATATTAAAAAAAAATAAAGTGAGAGGGGTGGCAGCAAATAGTCGGGGCGATGAGCATCCTTCCTGACTTCCCCCCTTGGACTGAGAAGCAGGACAAGAAGGCAGCTCTGGCTGAGCAATGCTGGTCAAAGGAGAGAATCGAAGAATTTGAGACCATGGTCTTGGTCAGTGTGTCGAGTCATTTAAAATGCTTATTGTGCTGGATGGGGCACAGAGATGAAGACAGTCCAGAAGGATGAAAATTAACCACCCCAAGGAGGGCTCAGGTTAACAAATAATGGCAAAAAATCGTGCCTTAGGAGAGGGACTTACACAGTGGGGGCAGGGAGGGGTCAGCAAGCCCGGAACTGGGGGTCTGAGAAACTCAGCTTGGAAGTGGGAATTTCTCCTTGGACTAAAGGGCAGGGAGAGAAGGGAGGGCATTCCAGGCAGAGGTTATAGCGCCGACAAGAGAAGAGGTTTCCATAAGGGGCTCCTGGGAGGCTCATTCAGAGAAGTCTCTGTCTTCAGCTCTGGTCATGATCCCAGGGTTCTGAGATTGAGCCCCGTGTTGGGTTCCCTGCTCAGCAGGGAGGCTGCTCCTCCCTCTCCCACTCCCTCTGCCCGTGTTCTCTGTCTCTCTGTCAAGTAAATAAATAAAATCTTTAAAAAAGAAAAGAAAAAAAGAGGTTTCCCCAAGCAGTGAGGATGGGGAAAGGACTTCCCCCAGGTAGAAGGTACTAGCTCTGGATCCAGGCAGGGAGAGGAGGGAAAGAGGAGAAAGGAAGACCACAGGTCAGAGTGTGGGGGTAGGGAGAGCGGCTTCCAGCAGCTTCAGTGCCATGTCTGGCCGAGTCATCATACAGACAATCACATCACGTTTGGGAGAGAATCGCGGGCTTGGTTTCGAGTGCGGGGCACTGGACCTAACACCTCGTCCTCCACCTCTTCTCCAGGAGTGACCATCGGGGAAGAGAGGGCAAGGTCTCGGTGCACTGGAAGCTGACCCTTCACCTCAGCAACCTCCCACCCAAGGTGATGGTGGGATCCTCACCTCCTCTCGACTTTGGGGCAGACAAGTGGGCCCTCTTCCTGGCTGTGGCGGAAGCGCCTTCCTGCTGGGGCCTGAATGGCAGTTCTGTCCCCGGCTCAGGTGCAGGCAGTGACGGAGAATGCCCCCATTGTGCAGGGAAAGGGCTTCTGCAGGGCTGTCAGGGCCTGAATATATATAGCGACCCGGGCTACAGTCACGTCCAGAGTCGCTATCAGAAAGAAAATACAGGAGATCTCCATGTCCGCCAAGATGTCACACCTCAGAGATTTAAAGCTGGACGAAGCGACTTGCTGACCTCCAGCCCGCTCACCGGGGGCACATCTGTCTTCCTTGATAGAATTCTCCAGGCTCTGGCTGACGCTGCTGCTGGGCCGGGCTCTGCTGCTGAACACGGGCCTGAGCCTGCAGGCCTCTGGGAAGCTCGGCCTGCTGCGCGAGGCCCTCCCTGGAACAGGATGCGCGAGGGCTTGTTTTGCTTTTTTCCTCTTTGTCTTAATCAGCCCCCATGACCTTCTTTTCTAGGAAGTAATAGCAGCTGGGAAATGTTATAGATGAGAACCAGGGCAATGACGGTGACCACTGCCGGCTCAGTGGCCTATTGGGTTCCTTCTCGTGCTCTGGAGAGAGGCCTGTCACCAAAATTCTGCAGGTGTTTCTGGTGCATGGGACTGGGGAGTGAGACAGGTTAAGAGACAGACCGGGTGAGCAGACCCAAGAAACATACAGACCTAGGAGCAAAAGCCAGGGGAGAGGCAGGGTCCTGGGTGCCAAGAAGCCTAGGGAGAGGAGTACCGACGAGGGGGACCAGTACAGTACATCATGGCAAGGCCCAGAGGCCAGGCTGTGTGGTCTTAGGGCCGCGAGATGAAGACAGGGCTTCTAGAGAGCCAAATGCAGGGAAACAGTTACACTTTTCCTTGTAGGGCCCTTCTCAAAGCCCTTAGCAGTCAGGCTATGGAGAAGGAGGATAGTCGTTAACTTGTAGAAAAAAGACCCGCTTGGGGGCTTGACTCGAAACACCAGGGGTTTATGAACCAACCCTTTTCCCTTCCTCCTGTTTCCTTCCCCCTCCTCCTAGGCGGCCCCCACCTTTTCTGGCAGTCCCGCACTACTCCGGTGGGAAGGGAACTCTGCGTTTTGTCCCAGCCTCAGGCATGGAGTTGCGTGAGTTCATGGTGGAGGTGCGGGGTGAGGTGCTCATGGAGACAGGGCAAAGGTTCTGATGTTGGGCTGGACTGTGTGTGCGCTTTCCCGCCTCTGGTTAGGTGGGCAAGGCAGTGAGAATGAATGAGGGTCTCCTGTTTGCTGCCTTTTCACCTTGTAGCTGTCCACCTCTGTCTGGGGGGAGCTGAGGGGTGGCCACAGTCATTGGTGGCGGTGTGACTGTCATGGACAGGCTGGGAGAGGGTGACGCCTGTGTGGGACATGGAGTCAGGCTTTTGTCCCACTTCCTGTGGGGAGGGTGAGGCATTCTGGGGTCCTAGCAGAATTCTACGTGTTGGAGGGCTCTGGGGAGGGACAGCAGAGCAGTGGCCATGTGGCCAGTGGCTCTGGGGAGGGACAGCAGAGCAGTGGCCATGTGGTTGTCTGAGAGGCAGGGAGGGGCCCAGCTGTCTCCGGTGACTTGCTCCCTGTTATGGTTTGGCTAAGGGAAGCGGCTCGAAGCCCTGAATTAGAGTGATTCAGTTCTCTCTTGGCATCACTGAGTCACAAGGTCAGGGGTTTATCTGGGGGGTGACCAGTCCACAAATCCTTTCTCTTCTTCCTTCTATTGCCTGCTTTTTTCAAACACACACTCAGATCAGCAAACTGGGAAAACAAACGACAGGCTACCCTCCCCTTCCCCGCCAAAAAACCCCAAAAAACAGCCTGGAGGCAAATTGTAAGCACTCAAGAATAGAAATTGTCTTCATAGGACCCCCCCCCTTTTTTAAAAAAGATTTTATTTGTTTATTTGACAGACAAATATCACAAGTAGGCAGAGAAGCAGACAGAGAGAGAGGAGGAAGCAGGCTCCCCGCGGAGCAGAGAACCCGATGCGGGGCTCGATCCCAGGACCCTGGGATCATGACCTGAGCCGAAGGCAGAGGCTTTAACCCACTGAGCCACCCAGGTGCCCTAGGATCCCCTTTTAATTGCTACTCCCTACCCCCACCTCCCACTTTCCACATTAAACGAATTATATTGAAAGCTGGAATTTTCATTGTAGGAAGCCCGAATCCCCTTTGTGATGGCTTCATGAGAGGGTTAGGGATAGGTTATTGCCAGGGAACACCTCCTTGGGGGTGATGGTGACCATTCTTTGCCTCCCCTGGGGAGAGGGGACGGAGGCAGGGGTGTGATTGTGGGGCTATAGATCCTGAGCTCAGAAAGGGGCTCTGGGACAAATGGGGGCCTCTGCCCTTGGCTCTGTGGTTCCATTCATTTCTCCTACTTTGTAAAATGCTTTTTGAAAGCACAGTTTATGATTTTGAGGTCCTTTACATTTTTTTTTAAAGATTTTATTTATTTTTTTGATAGAAATCACAAGTAGGCAGAGAGGCAAGCAGAGAGAGAGGAGGAAGCAGGCTCCCTGCAGAGCAGAGAGCCCGATGCAGGGCTCGATCCCAGGACCCCGAGATCATGACCTGAGCTGAAGGCAGAGGCTCAACCCACTGAGCCACCCAGGCACCCCGAGGTCCTTTACATTTTTTAATGCTGGGCAAACGCTGGTGGCCTTGTCCTTGTAATAGCTCTGGATGCAGGAATAAAGGATCTATGCGTAGAGGCTATATTATTTGAAAGAACAACTGAAAATAGCCAAGAAACATTTTATATTCTTATCAAATCCTTTAAATAGGTCTTGGGTCCCTAAAAAGTCCTATGTTGGAGCCCTGCACTTCTAGGAATCACACATCTTCACACCTCACTAGACAATCAGTTATCATGGTCTTGATGCTCGTAGAGCTACTCTCTCCCCTGTGTCACAGTGTCCTTGGGGCAGGAGGAACTATGAGTTATTTATTCATTCCTGCCATGCCTGGGTGCTTTGCCTCTGCCATCTCACGAGATCCCTCCGCCCTCTTTCCCCCTCCTCGACACAAATTGGTGTCTCTCCCTGTTGTGCAGGTGAGGACAGGGAGGCTGAGTCTGGGTAATCTGTCCAGTAGAGTCAGAACGAAAGGGCAGGAGTTAAGAAGGGTCAACGCTGGGACTGGAGCCTAGGCTAGTCTGACTTGGAAAGCTTTGCTCTTTCCCTTATACCTTGCCATCTTTCTATGGCTTTGGTTCCTATTTTAAAGGTCACCAACCAACATATTCCATCTTTTCAGGTCAGGTTTGCCAAAATTCCAGGTTTGGCACTGGACCCTTGGACTCTGTGAATGCCTTTGAGGTGGAACCTGGGATCTGCGTATACGCCCCCCTGCCTCTCACAGCTGTGTGCTAAGTTGGGTTGATAAGGCAGGTGGCACATAAGGTGGATAATTGATTTTCCTTTTATGAATATTCATTTGAGGTTACTTCTCCATCTGCTCTCCTTCTGCAGTTTGAAAATGGCCACTGAGTACTGAACAGGAGCATGCCTGTCCCTCTCCTTCTAGGTCACGCCTTGTACCGCTGGAGGAACAGGGCTGAGTCAATTACATTTGGAAGGCCAGAACACAGAGGGCTGGGTGGATTGTCTGGGCTTGGGACTTTTCCAGATTGCATAGTCTTAATTGTATTGAGCTCTTTGGAGCCATCTGATGAATTGATTCTCAGCATGGCCATCTGCACAGAAATGCAGGGCTGGTTTCAGGACCTGGAGGCAGTTATGCCCGAGTTATGTGGCTGAGCCCTTGGGCAGCTCTCAGAAAGGGAGGGCTAGTAGGTCGCCAATAATAGTCCGTGATGGAGAAGAAGAGCCATCAAGTGTGGAGGCCTCATTAGTTTTGATGGATTTGGCCCAAATAATATAACATTTTAGTCCCTTGTGTAAAAGCCAGGCTAAGTACCAAATAAAAATGTCTCTTTGGGCCCATAGGAACTGATTTTTGGGGGAGGGAAAATTTGGTGACCCTCTTGCTATGGTTCAAGTGTTCCAAAGTGACGAAGTTTGTGTTGAAGCTGTGTCTTTCGCCTCAGAAGAGGCTGTTTACCTGATATCATATCAACAAGGACTGAATATTATGTAACTCTTCCCCCATCTATGAAATGTGGTAATTGATGTTCCTAATAATGACCTCTCAAGATGGAAATATGTGAAGTGGCCCCTTGCATCATTACAGATGGACAAATCTTGTTCACTGAAGTTTTAATGTAAAATGCATTTCATAGTTCCAGTTCTGGGGACAATTACAATGTGTAGGGTTTCCCCCCAATGCCACCAAGCAATTCTGGGACACCAACTGAGTGTCCTACAACTCAATTCTGGAACTATCTGCCTAGAGACAGTGTCAGATCCCACAGCTTAAAGGCTCCACTCCAGGTGCCAGTCTCAGGTCTGGGGTGTCACCTGTACTTCTGACCCCCTCCATGGTCTGATTATTTTGCCACTGGCTCATGAGACTTAGGACACTAGTGTACTTGCTAGATTATTGGTTTATTACAAAGGACACAAATATGAATGAACAGCCAGGTGAAGAGATATATAGGATAAGATGACCCTCTGTCCTTTGGAATTTGGGCCCAGTATAATGGCACATGGAAACATTTTGGTTTGCCTACCTGGAAGCTCTTCAAACCCTGTCCTTTTCTGGGGGGAGGCTTATGGGAGCTTCATTACACAGGCAAATCATTGGCCTTTGGTGATTGATTCAACCTCCAGGCCCTCTCCCCTCCCCAGAATCAGCAGGTGAGAATGGATGTTCTGATCTTCGATTTAGGTTGGCTCCCCAGGCAACCAGCACCCATCCTTAGTTCCAAAAGTCACTTCATTAAAAGGGAGAGACAGAGAGAGACCTTAAGAGACTCTTAAGGATAGAGAACAAACGGAGGGTTGATGGTGGCAGGTGGGTGGGGGGATGGGTTAGATGAGTGATGGGTATTTTTTTTTTAAGATTTTATTTATTTATTTATTTATTTTTATTTATTTAATTTCTTTTCAGTGTAACAGAATTCATTGTTTATGCACCACACCCAGTGCTCCATGCAGTATGTGCCCTCCATAATACCCACCACCAGGCTCATCCAACCTCCCACCCCCTGCCCCTTCAAAACCCTCAGATTATTTTTCAGAGTCCATAGTCTCTCATGGTTCATCTCCCCTTCCAATTTCCCTCAACTCCCTTCTTCTCTCCATCTCCCCATGTCCTCTGTGTTATTTATTTGACAGAGAGAGATCACAAGTAGGCAGAGAGGCAGGCAGAGAGAGAGAAGGAAGCAGGCTCCCTGCTGAGCAGAGAGCCCAATGTGGGGCTCTATCCCAGGACCCTGAGACCATGACCTGAGCCAAAGGCAGGCGCTTAACCCACTGAACCTCCCAGGCATCCCAAATGATGGGTATTAAGGAGGGCACTTGTTATCATGAGCACTGGGTGTTATATATAAG